TTCTATTTTTAATAATGTGTAATTAATTTTATTTTGGCTAGAGGTTAATTCGAACCATGAATATATTTGTAATATGAATTGATTACCTTCGGTTGTGATTTCATAAGTTGTGATTTCAATTTACTTATCCGTTCGTATAAAAACTGATTTGTGTATGTTGGTTGAGAGTGCACGCTTAATTTACATGCATGAATTTGATGCTAGAATATAAGTGAATTTCACCTAATCGTTATGAACTTATTTTCACAAGTAGTAAAGGTTGCTAGTCACAATCACGTTAAGTAAATTCTTGGCAAGAGTATCATGCTTTTCATAGTTACGAATGCCTCGTCAATGCTTATAGTTTTCACAAAGTTTAATGATCTTTGATTGTATCGCTATTGTGCTTTTCACGTAGGGGACTTTTGAAGAATGTTTTGAATTGTTGTATGCGTTTTTCCGTCCAATTCAATAACTTAAGGAAAACTTGAAGATTAAAAAAGTGCTGTTCACGGTTAATCTGGAGTATTGAGATTCACAATTTATTAAATGAACAACTGGAAAATCAATTTTGTATGCAAGTATAACATGTGTGGAGAAGAACCCTCTAGCTAGTCCGTCATTTATCATTTCACCTTAATTTCATGTTTTTGTCAATTCTGTAATTTAATTAAGTTTAATTTACTTTTCATCAAAACCAAACACCCATCCATTATTAAATTATATTATTTATTGTTAGTCTTTTAATTTAATTTCCGTCCATTTCAGTTCCTAGTGTTTAATTTAATTGTTTTCATTATTTTGAGTCATTTTAAGTGTGTTTCGAGTTATTAGAGTTTTTAGCCTAGTTTTGTGTCCTTGAGTCTTATTTAATATTTTTAAGTTAATTTAATAGATTAGCAATCCCTCCTAATCCCCGGCCTAGAACGATACCCTACTTACATCTATACTACAATTGTCAAAAAGAGGGTTTAATTTGTGTGTCAAGAAATTCACGCATCACCATCTCCCATCCATTCCTCCATAGAAATACCATCCAAACCTGTCCCCAAAACCTTGTGCCGCAGCAAAGAGGAAGGAGGAGAAGCCTTGGACGTGTATGCCATTCAAGTTAAGATTGCTGGAACGTTTTAGGTGTTTTCTTTCCTTTGTTTTCAATGTTTAAATTCAATACTCTTTGTTTTGTAAGTATGAGGAACTAAACCCCCTTTGGCTAGGGGGGAATTCGAAACCATGTTCATACCTGCAATAGGAGTGATTACTTTCATTTGTGATTCATAAGTTGTGAATTCAATTTACTTATCCATTTGAATTAAAACTGATTTGTGTATGTTGGTTGAGAGTGCACGCTTAAATTCCATGCATAAATATGATGCTAGGATATAAGGGAGTGTCACATTATCGTTATGAACTTATATTCACAAGTAGTAAAGGTTGTTCGTCACAACCGTGTTAAGTAAATTCTTGGCATAAGTTTCATACAATTCATAGTTACAAGTGTTTCATCAATGCTTATGATTTTCATAGAACTTAATGATTCTTACTTGTATCTCTATTATGCAATTCATGTAGGGAACTTGTGGGGAATGCTTTGGGTTGTTGTATGCAATCATCCAATTCAATGAAATTAGGAAAATCTGAGGATTAATTTAAGCGTACCTAATTAATCTGGGGTGTTGAGGTTCATGGTTTATTGAAAAGCAACTGGAAATCATTTTGTATGCAAGTGTGACATGTGTGGAGAAGAACCTCCTAGCTAGCCTTCCATCCATTCAATTTAACCAAATTCGTCCAAAAATCTGTTTAGTTTACAACTTGTTTGTTTTGTTTTCAAATTCGTCAAAATCAATCCCCCCGCCCTTACTTTGTTGAGGCATATTAGTTAGAAAGTGATTTTGTTTGTGTTTTTAAGTGTTTTGAACCAAGTTACAACCTATTTTCGTCCAAATTCTTTATTAGTGGCAGATTTGAGTCTTTTAGCTTGTTTTGAGCTGTTTTGAGTCTTTTGAGTTGTTTTAGTGTTTTATAGTTTAGTTTTGCATTCTTTGAGTCTAGTTTAGTGTTTTAAACTTTGTTTTACGTTTTTGAGTCAGTTTCAAGTGTTTTAGCAATCCCTCCTAATCCCCGGCCTAGAACGATCCCTACTTACATTCTTTACTACAATTGATAAAAAGAGGGTTTAATTTGTGTTCTTATATATTTTGCATCACATTCATCCAGACAACTAAGTTTCCCACATTCCTACCTAATCACGTGTTTAATTGAATCAGTCACATGTATTAAGAAACATGATTTAATTAACTCATATATGAGGACAATATCAATAAGATTATCCATAAGTAAAACATACACCAAACTTGAATTCAAGAAGATATAAAAATGTTCACAAAGTAAATCAAAGTTACTAGGGTGGATTCGGCCAACAAGGCCATCCATGTCAAAATTCTACTCTTCCAAGGATGTTTCGTGGAGGAAAATTAGTCTCACATATTGACTAGTACTCGTTAACAACATTGGTAGGGGCACAAACAGGTGCATAACCAATGATCTATTCCATCAAGACGGAAGTAGTTTCTGCAAGGTTTGCAAGGTTGAGGTTTGGAAATATTATCCCATATTCTTGAAGTTTTAGGTCTTAGGTGCCAAGGATCATGCTCCGAGCATGATGCCACACCTTGGCAGGCCCTAGTTCTACCATATGTTTGTGGTAGTAATCAGATCCGAGAATTTGGTAAACTTCCGCTTTCTACACTTGTTGCTTCAGGAGCGAGTTAGAAACAAGGAAGGATGAGAAAAGTATTCTTGAGTCAAAATTTGATGGATTTATAAACTTCAGAATTGTACTCATTCATGGACGTAATCATGGTGTGCTTCAGGCAATGTCTTTCATGATTAGACAATCTGTATGAGCGAGCCAAAGAGCCATGGAATCCTCGTTCGGGAGGTATTTCCATTTGTAATGCTTGAGGCTTAAGTTTTTTAATGAAGATCATGGCGGAGGCTTATTCAGCTCTTCCTTGCCATTGTTGGCTTCAACAGTTTCTCAACTTCTTAATAGTCACGTGGAGATTCACGTCTTGTACCCCACATAAAGTGGTTTCTAATAGAAACGTCCAAATCAGGAAAATCAAACTTGTGATGGTTCGACAATCCACTGAATTGGATGGAACAAGATTGTGATTAATGCTATGGGAAGGAATCATCCATAAGCATCAAAGTTAGAATATTTGAGTTCTAAGACATGGTTTTCATGAAACAACTTCAAGTTTTCATGGGTGTATTGTTTTATGAAAACTTTGGGTTTCAAAGGCACTAAATTTGAAACTACAAGTTCAATTTAGTTTATGAACGTTTAGTTCATAAAAGAGAGGTTCCTGCAAGAACACATAATGCAATATGCTGATTTAAGTCTAGTGGATTTGAGGTTCTTCGAGAACTCAAGTGTGAGAGCTTCATTACTTCGAAAGCATGTCATGGTTCAAAGTATAAAAATAAATTATTGAATCATTAATGTCCAAAAGTGATTTCAGTTCAATAATTTTGGATTCATTATCATATTAATGGACTGCATGTCATTTTTAATTAATTCAATAAATCGAGCCATACAGGGTTGATTGTATAAAAGTTTCAGGTCGTTAGGGACACAGCTGCAAGGCAGACCAAATGGCTGCTGGTGGGCTTGGGTCATGGCTTCAAAGCAACCCAGAAGGTTGCATATGGCAGTAAACCGAGAGAGAGCAGCCCATCAAAAAATTTAATGGCTGCTGTCCAAACTCCATAGCCCAGTAGTTCCAGGCTGCGGGTTGGGTTGTGTGAAGTTGCTGCAGGTAATAGGGAAGTGGGCCGAGGGCTGCATGTCTGTCATATGAGAGAAGCCAAGCGCAAGGCTTTGGTTTCATGCACTGCAAAGCCCAAAAAGGAGCTGCAGTTAGTGATAATGCAGCTTAGCTCAAATGGAGCAGCTTCAAGCCGGTACTCAACTATATTTTCCCCCTTTTGTTTTCTTTTTTTTTCGACATCTAGGGTTTGAAAAACCCTAATTGCTTCTAACTTATTTTATATACATTGACTCACAAATTCCACATAGCAATTTAATTGCGTAATGCATGAAACAAATATATATATTGACAAATATATGAACATATACAATATATATCGGAAGGAAAATATAAACATAGGGGGTTCATGCATCATGGGGAATGTTTTCATGCTTCAAGCTCGTTTCAAATATCTTACTTTATTTTAAGCGTACCTGATTGGTAAAAAATAAAAAGAGCCTTTGAATTTGTAAAAGATCATTCTCAGAAAGTCGGAATTGCATCTCCAATGCGTTGTATCACGTTCAACACAAAAAAATTAAATTGAATGAATAGCATGTAGATCAATTCAATAAACTAATAAATTAATCATAAAAAGAATTATTAAACCGTAATACTCCCCTAATTGAAAAATAAACTTTCTTTATTGCAGTGTTAAGAGCGTGCTGATAATGTATTGTAGGCATAATTTATTAAACGATTATGGAGGTCAGAGAGAGGGAAGATGCGGCATTAGTAGAGAGAAAGAGAGAGATGTGTAATTGTGTGTGTGTTCTATTTCATCCCATTGTGCCTTTATTTATAGTAGTAGGGAAGGTTAATTTCTTACCCTTTTCGGATTACAACTTTAATAGGCAATCTACTTCTAATAGGAATATAAGAGATATTTCAAGGTATACTAGGAATCCTAGTCTAGGATTTACACAATCACATTCCTAATTGAATAGAACTGCAACAGAAACGATTTTATCGACATATCAAATATAGTTAACTATTTCTTTGCTACCTCCATTGCACATGTAACTATTTCTTTGCTACCTCCATTGCACATGGTCTAATGTAATCTAAACATTTTCTTTTATATTCTCTAGCTAGGGTTTGAGTGGTGGGTCATTCCCACCATGTGCTTCCACGTGCCGTGTCTTTCTCTCAAAGCCCCACATCTCCTGTCCATTCACCACATAAATTAGGGGGTTTCTGCGTGTTCTTCTCCTTCTCAATCCTCTCTCTCTCCATCGATCTCTCCCTCAGGCCTCTCCTCTCTCTCTCTCAAACTTTCTTGGATCTGTAGCAGAACTGCATCACTCTGCAAAACTTGTCTGTCATATTCATATATACCTCCCATGATTTTCTCTCCTATCCCAATTCAATAAAAGAGAAATCTAGCATACATTTTTTTTCTTTTTCATAACCGAGGTATTTATGTCTCTATATGTACTCGAAACGTATATTATTCTTACAAAAACCTAATTCCCTTTTTTTTTTCTTGCAAAACAAAAATCTAATTCTTGATTCCGTACGTTTTTGCAGAATGCGTAATTTCAGTTCTTGTTGTATCAAACGAGAATTCCTGAAGAAATGGATAAAGGGTCTCCAAGTATGCAATAGCAGCAGCACCTTTTCGAAGAGAAAGATGACCAACTTAGACAGAAAGAAGGCTATCAAGTTGTCAGCAGATATAGCCATGGCTTCAACAAGAAATGGAACTACAAGTTGGAGCCGCGCCGTCATAGCCAATGCTACTGACAAGAACGACGGCAATAACAGAATCGTGGTCGAGCGTATACTGGGTGGTGCTGCTGCTGCTGCTGCTGCTGGTTGTCCTCGTTGTCATCCTGAGCACTGTGAGATTAAGAAAGCTTCAAGATCAGTGTCGTCCGTGGTGCACAAGAAGATCTTGAAAAAGAGCCGGAGGGTACGTAGTACTAATGTGTTGAGGAGGAAACGTGCAAAAACCCATCCGATTACAAAGAGATTGGTCCGGAAGAAAACACAAGTGCTCAAGAGTCTTGTTCCTGGAGGACAATCCATGGATGAGCTCTCTTTGATTGAGGAAACACTAGATTATATCGTGTCACTGAGAGCTCAGGTTGAGGTAATGCGGTGTCTTGCCACCACCGCTGAGTTAATAAATGGTACATAAGAATAATATCGATGGTAGTAAATTAATTAATTATCGGCTCCATCTTATTAATTATTAATTATGCTTTTCAAAATTTCTATTTCTTTTCCTTATTTTTCCCTTTTTTAAATAGTAGTACTAGTTATTTCGATATATGGCTGTAACCGTAAGGTGCGCAATATTGTACAGATCGAGAATACATTTCAGTACATCAAAGGAAGGAGTTTCAATGTTTAATAATTTGTCAGCTATATCAATTCATCTGCACAAGATTTTTGTTGGACTAGCTAAATAATACTCAGTTCCAGTTTAATTTTCTCAATTGATCGAGTTTTATGTATGCGGAAGGTGCTTTTATATGTGTGTGTAACAGTGTAAGTGTTTGATGGGAAGTATATGTAGACAACATGGTTGTCAAGAGCAAGGAAAAGAAAGGTCACATAGTCCACCTCCAGGAAATGTTTGACTTGCTCCGAAAATAACATGAAGCTAAATCCCAAAAAAAATCACCTTTATAGTAACATGAGGCAAATTCTTAGGATACTTGGTCACCAATCCCGATCAAATCAAGGCCATCATGAAAATGAGATCGCCGAGAACCATAAAAGAGATAGAGTTTGATGGGAAAGGCGGCCTCCCTCAATCGATTTTTTTCACGATCCACTGACAAGTGCAAACCCTTCTTTACCGCAATAAAAAACAAGTAAAGGCTTGCTCTGGACAAATGAGTGTGAAGAAGCCTTTACAAAATTGAAGAAGTACCTTTCTAAACCCCGTTGCTATCCAAATTGATTGATGGAGAAGATTTGTACTTATACTATGCAGTATTAGATTGCACAGTGAATGCAGCTATGACTCAAGAACACTCAGAGGAGTAGAAACTAGTATATTACATTTCAAACACTCTTCTTAAACTAGAGACACGATACCAAAAAATGGAAAAACTCATCCTGGAGCTGGTGACAGCAGCAAAAAAACTCTGATCGTACTTCCAATCATCCACGGTGGTCTACATGATAGAATACTTGTTGCACTCCATCATGCATAGCCCCGACACATCATTCAAGGTGCCACCATCACTTTGTGTTAGGGCAATAGGTGGAGTCCTAGCAACTCTGCTAGATGACCATGCTTGTTTCGCAAGATACGTGATCCGATTCGAATATTGACACAATCAAATCATTCAAGTCTTGGAGTTCTTATAATCTAGGAATTGGCATGCGCCACAAGTAATCATAACTCGTAATCTCTTCTCCTAGGTATCCTCTAGAACTCTTCCAGCTTAGAATGAAGATTCTATTCTAAAAATTCCTCTCCCCATGGTATAAATACACCCGTCTAGAGTTCACCTATTGTAGCACATTTATACACTTAATATTTCTCTTGCCCATTGATTGAGTCTAAGACTGTTCAATAACTTGACTGTGAGAGAGTCTTTGGCTGGTAAACACCCCTCGGTCCTAGGCTTGTTCATAGTTGTTTATTGTTTTGCAGGTTGCTCGAGTTTGTGCACTTCCTCCACACATGGTGGTGCACAAATTTGGTTTCAACATGCACCTTTTGATCCCTAATGTCCTTGTACCAGAATTAACCCTTGGTACCTGGATTTGGGAATGAAGTTTCCACTTTCCCTATTCCTATAGTAGGTCAAGAATCGTTACAACATTTCTCTTTGTAATTTGACCCTAGTGTCCTTTTCTATCCTCACCTGTTTCGAGCTCTTAAATGAATAGTACGTGGTAGAGCTTGGCCTCCAGGAATTATGCATTCTTTCTACCTTGCGTAAGAGCGTTGAAGCTCACAACTTTTTCCAATCACGACCAAGTGTTAGGTAGGTTGCCTACATCACTAAGTGACCATGCCATGACAAGCATTGGTACACAGACATTCTGATTGGGAACATAAATTGGGAAGGCAACGTCTTTGAAATTAGAGTATGGAATAACCCTTCCAAAGGTTTTTAATGCAATAATGATGTTGGGAACAACGACCAGTTTCACCCTTAGTTGATTGATATGGCTTTCAAGATTATACCCCTTGCACATAGGAAGGGGTTTGTAGCTCCAAAAGGAGTCAGAGAGCATAGGAGGGACGCCATCATAGACCCATGTTCTAACAATCCCATCAAAGACTTAGCATAGGTTGACACGGTGGATGCCAAATAAAGGAAAGATTTGGTGAGAGCTTTGAAAGCACCAAAATCTTAGAAGAAGAAAGGAAAGCATCCTGAAGGTGTCATTAAAGAGACCGATGAAAGTAAACCTTCCAGGAAGAAACCCAACATGGCAGGGAGTTCTAGTGTTCCTCTGAGTGATGATGTGCTAGAAAGTTGAGACCTCACCCTATTTGAGTTAGGGCTGATTAGGGTTGGGCAACAACAAATGTCAATGAATAAAGAGGAAATGTAACAAGAGTTCTTTAGGGGCGAAGATTTCGCCAATGCCTCTGGACTCCATATTTTTTTATCACGGAAGTGGGACAATAACTAGAGGAACAAAAGCAACTAAACTGGAAGTAACTGCAATAACTAAACTAACAACAAGTGCAGCAACAAGATGACCTTGTCGATGCCTTTAATCGAGAGCTGACCCCTGATCAACCTCCTGCCCTTATCTCCGGGGCAGAGACGACCATAATTGATCTCATTGACCTACGTACATCTTCCGTTGAGACATCAAGCTCGTCCGACACAACCATGACAGTAGACTGCTATCCCTTCACAATGGCTATTTCTCCTTGAAGCCCAAGCCTTGACCCACTTAGCAATTCCTCTAACTAATTTTTAGGAGATAACTTCTTAGTCTGATCATGCAGTAAGAAACTACAACCAGAGTCGATACGCAGTAAGTCTTCTTTGCTTCTCTTCAGCTTGTCATTCCTCCTCAATTTGCTATATTTAATTTTCCAAATATCTCCTACTAGGCCAATCCTTGGACGGAGGCCGAACTTCAAAGTTAAATGAACAAAATGTCTAAAGTGGAAACTGGCCACAAAGGCGAATTAAGCCGTCAAATCCAATTGAAGAGGCAGTTGTAGGAGAGGGATTTAGATTTGGAAAAACTTCTGGCCAACCAGAGAGAGACAGAATGTTCATGGGGTAGCGAGTGGGATGACCTAATTGAGCAATTGTGCAGCAAAGAAAAGAGGGCTAATGACTTGGCGCGACATAGATGACTCTACTTAAGATTGTTGGAAGTATGCCCATAAATCCACTCATTTGATGTAAGAGCTTGTGGAATACTCATTATGTTAAACTCTTATTTGTTTAATGAAGGGTAAAGCTTATTGTTAATCACTATTTATTGTATCAAAAGTTTAACCAACAGGGGAATCCAAGGAATGTATAGATCTAAGAGAGAAGTGATATAAGTAAGTTAGATTAACAAGACCTTTCTCTATGTTCATTCCTAAAATGTTCCTAGCAATAGGATTGCCAATTGGGCATTGACAATCCGCTAAGGTTAGTATGTGTTATTTTGGCTTAATTGCAATTTTTCCACTTACCTAAGAATGAGGTATAAAAGCATGTTTATAACTTTAACCTCGTTAAGGTTTCTTTGAGGCATTGAAGAGAAACATTTTCTCTATCTCTCTAAAGGAGGCCGGCCACTTAGTGAAGAAATAGCTAGCAATGTTTTCTTCTCTAAGTCGTCCCATCTCTTCTTCAGTTCTCCTCCTAGGTGTGGAGACTTAGAGGTATTCTAACTTGAAAGCTTTTGGAGATTCATTTCCTCATATTCTCAAGGAGCAAAGGAGAAGAAAAGAAGCAACTATCCAAGAAGCAAGGAGGTGACTTGAAGGCCCTCCACTTGAGTGAATCCCCTATGCAACAAGGATGAGCCTCAAGGGTAATGAATCTCAAAATCCTTTCTTCTCTTATGGTTCATCATTCACTAGGCTTTGAAAGTCATGGGTTTTATATGTATGCTTATGTGTTGAAGTATTTTCACATGTTCTTAGCTAGGGCAAATTTTTTCCTTCAAGTGGTATTGAACCTAGGTCTAGCTGATATAAGCATATTTATGTGACTTAGTTAGCTTGTTCTTGTGCATTTATGTTGTTATTTCTTAGTCAATTATGTATTTTTAAGCTATTTTCGTGTGTTTGTAGGTTCAAATAACAAAGTTAGCAACAAAGTGCTATTTGGAGCATTTTGGAGCATTTTTGGGCCAAGATTGGATAGTGCAAGCATGGAGACATGAGGATGGACGTTTTTGAATATTTGAAGGCTAGAAATTAGCATGTGTGTGTGCAAGTGTGTTGACCTACAACTCCAAACATCCATCCACTACACCCATTACATCCACTCATTACCAAACATCCATCCACTACACCCATTACATCCACTCATTACCAAACATCCACCCACTACACCCATTACATCCACTCATTACCAAACACCCATTATATCCACTCATTACCAAACATCCATCCATTACACCTATTACATCCACTCATTACCAAACATCCACGTACTACACCCATTACATCCACTCATTACCAAACATCCATCCACTACACCCATTACATCCACTCATTACCAAACACTCACCCATTACATCCACTCATTACCACAACATACACCACTACCACCTTAATTAGATGGTGGTCCTCTCCCTAGCCTATAAATACATCCACACTTCACCATAACAGGGGAGAGGAGAAAAGATCCATCCAAAGACACTACATTCACATCTCACAACTCCATACACTTACACTTTCATTCCTTGGGTGAGAACACAATCCACCCATCCACCCTTCACCATAACTCACCTATATCCATCCACCACCATAATTTACCACTCATCCATCAAACCGCACATTGTGCCGCAACAAAGAGAAGAAGGAGGACCCTTGGACGTGCTTGCCATTCAAGTTGGATTGTTGGAGCGTTTTTAGGTGTTTTCATTCTTTTGTTTTCAATGTCTAAATTTGTTTATCTTTGCTTTGTGAGTATGAGGAACTAAACCCCCCTTAGCTAGGGGGGAATTTGAAACCATGTTCATGCTTGCAATATGATTTGATTACCTTCAGTTGTGATTTCATAAGTTGTGAATTCAATTTGTTTAGCTGCTTGATTGATAACTTATTCGTGTATGTTTATTAAGAGTGCACACTTAGTTTGCATGCATGAATATGATGCTAGAGTATAAGGGAGTTTCACCTAATAGTTACAAACTTATATTCACCAGTAGTGGAGGTCGCTTATAAACGATCGTGTTAAATAAATTCTTGGCAAGAGTTTCATGCTCATCATAGTAACGAAT